ATATAAAATACCTTGCGTCGAAGAACATTATTTTCGAATTATACATTCAATATAACTTGTTCCCATTATAATTTTTTAAAGCGATCTCCCGTCTTTCCGCGCCGAACAAATCATAATTAATCACTATGCGAAAAACAAGGCCACATCGCGCTCGATAAAACGCGATACATATTAACTGAATTACCAGTTACGCGTAAACGTTACATGTTTTCGCACGAATCTGTGACGCGATCGACTAATTTGCGGAGAACGACATGGAATAAATGTACATAAATTAAACGAGGAGCGTTAAGAAAATTGTCGCTTGGATCGCCTCAAATTGCAGTAACGTCGGTATTGCGTAAGATTATTACCGAGTAAATGTTTGCCAGGAATCGAAATTAAGAATGAAGTTTTTACAATGTGTCGCGGGAATGGGCGACCAAATATTGACGCGCGTCGAGCATGTATCTGGGAGCGTTTCCTTTTAAGGCTAGAGAAACAAGTAGAGTCATTATTTTCTTTATGTTAGCAATAAACAGAAACATTACTTGCAAGTACACGTGTTAGCTTGACGTTGTACAAAACGAAAGGAGGAACGGGAACGTGCGATTTATTCGCCCTCGAAGCGACCACGGTAAAGCCATTATTGTGAAAAATCGAATTCCTCTTGCAATAAACGAAACAACTATTCTAATGAGAAATAACTCTGCCACTTATGGGGCATGTTTAGCGTCTTCAACCTTAATGCTTAGCGACCGATCTCTCCCATTGTCGACAACATGCAACAAGACATTTATGTAACAACCGTGGTTCTACCTTTTGCTTTAGAAATACTGACTTGTAACGCATTCAGTCTCGTATTATACGATGCATGAACGTGAGTATGAACCATGAACTATATCGCGAGAAAGACAACGTCTCGAAGAAACTTTCTTAGAATCCATCAGGTAATTTTCGAATAGCCGAATTCGCGCCAAACCCCGTAATCGATATAGCCATTGTCTTTCGGAAGCGTGGAGGCTTCGTAAATTCAGGAGAATTTTAATCCCGTCCGTGGGGTTCGCCCAGTAATTTTCGTAACCCCGTTGTCGACGATAATTGCCACGTTTCTGCAGCAGCCCCTCACCCCTCCCGGAGCTAGAAAATTGCCCGATGAATTTCGTAGCAGCCGCAGCTTCGAGTATCATGAAACGTGTTGCCACGCCGACCTCCGCCGACACTTCTGCCACCAACCGCCACTTTTCTCCCCTGTCCAAAAACGCCCCGTTCGGTTATCACGTGAATTCTCTTTCGTTTTATCGCGGCGTCGTCGTAACTCTCCCTCTGACTCTCTGCGGCCCGCCGCCGCCGCCGCCGCGACGCGGTTGCATCGCCTGTCTCGTAACTCAGCTACCCCGAAACGTTGCGTATATGCTCGTCGTTCGCTGTCAGAATCTTCGACACTTTTACCGTTTGGCAATTTTGAAGCTATTGTAGCGGGAATTACCAGTTTCGAATAACGATTATTTACGGTGCTGCGAACCTCGTATATATCTCTGCGGTGTTATTCCCCGCGAGATGTTTAAAAGTCGAACATTTTTAAAGCGTAGGCAATCTTCTGTACTCGGAAAAAGAAACGATCAAATAAGAAAAATGCATTCGAGTCTGTTCCTCCGGTTATCAACCGTATCCCTGGAGTCGGATAAAAAAAAAAAAGAGAATCGAAAGTTCGCCTCGATCGGCGGTTCATCGTTCGCAGAAAACGTGCCGGAGTTTTCATCCTCGTGTACAAAGCGCCGGAGAGCCGTGCACGGTGAAAAGTTCCGAAGAAACGAGAGAGAAGAAGAGGAACGGGATCGACACGTCCCCGGAGGGTTCGGAACGAGCGCTCCTTATACTCTTCCCTCCCGTAGAATTTCCATCGTATCGCCGTTTTGCTCGTCACGGAGCAAAGTGGAACGGGGCGCGTACGTCCAGCGGAATATAAAAGGGAAGGAACGGGAGGTGGAACGATTCTGTTGTAAAATAGCGAACGAACAAACAGACGGACGAGCGGAGAGATGTACGAGAGTTCAGACCGTGGCGTTGCCTGAAAAGGAAACCGACGGCGCCTCCGGTTGGCGGAAGTCGCCCTTCGACTAGTTTTACACGTAGCCGCGTCTCGGGCAACGCGCTACAACGAGGATCGCGTCGGGCTTGGCGGGTCGCGAGCGTTATATACGCGCAAACGTTGCTAATTAGTCCGTTGGTATGTGAACGGGCTGGAATTTTCGAAGAAGCACGCGGCTAATCGGCTCGAGCCTATATCCCGCGGTCGCGAGAGACTCGACGCGTTTGTAAATCGTTCTAAATGAAATTCTTCCCGTGCTTGCGGAGGAAACAATTCGAACAGACTCGTTCTTGCTGGGAACGTCGTGGACTTCGATTTCATTGAGCTTTTGTGGATCGATACAATTTCCTAAGGATCTTCTGATTAATCGATAGTTTTGAAGATGCATATTTAAATCAGCTTGTGGACAAACTTTCTTCTGTTACATAAATATGTATACAGTTATTTGTATTTGTAGTCGTACACTATTCGATGATTCGGAATATACATGGAATTTATTTTTATCGCAAACAATTTTTTTCTCGAAAGTGGTTAGGAATTCGGGGATATGTCTATTCACCAAAAATGATGGTAATTAATCCTTGCAACTAAAAATAATTTCTTTGCAACGATTTGGAATTTCTTAATTTTATCGAACTTTTTATTCAACTTTCGTTCGATCATGAAATTTCGAAGATCCACAAACGGTTTCAATTTACCCCCAGTTTCTACCAACCCTTTCCAACGGTCATCCCAAAAAGAACTCGATGAACCTCGAATACCGCTCGACTGCTACCGAAGTCTGTAACTCTCTAAACAAGTACCCATGTACCGGGCCGAATGCCGACAAATTTAATAACCCTAATGAACTTTTTGCGCGCGAAACATGCCTGGTGATGTCGCGGCGGACTACGGGCAAGAAACGCGGCTCTTTCTTATCCGCCAGGACGATTAGGACATTAATCTTCGGGGCCCCCGAAGGGGCAGAAAACGCGAAGGGGATCCATGGGAGTCGCCGTTGGGCCGTACGAGAATCCCGTAGCGATGCAGATCCACGATCGATCCGCATTCTCGGGGTTCGTGGCGCCCGTGGCCTGTGCGCGCGTTCTGCATTCGTCTCCTCCAGGGGGTGCGTCGCGGTGGCAGAGCATCTGGCCGGTAGGAATACCGGGGCCCCGGTTTGCTCCGTCCCGACGCTTCTTTCCGTCGTGGTTTCGTCGGTCCCAGGCGCGGGGCCCGATGACGCACCGTGGTACCGCCGCGACCCGTCTTCTTTGGCGCGGTGCGCTCCCCCGGTTCGCGCAAGAAGGATGTCGTTGCGCAATTATTTTCGCATGATTCCGATCGCCGGGTCAGATTAAGACCGCCCTTTCGTCGATCCGATCGCCGATGGAACGCGAGCGCCGCGTTCGTTTGCGATCCGCGTTACGCAGCAAAACCGAATTCCGAAAGACAATGCGTACGTGCCACTATGCGCCGCGACGCGGACCACGGGACGTTCCCTGGGACCCGGGGACGAAGACGTAAACCGATGAAGAAGTTCGGCGGAGAGGACAGGGGCCAGAGGGGCCAGCGTTTCGACGTCTGTCGATCATCGGCGATCGTTTTTACGAAAGGCGTCCTCGTCGATCGATGTTCCGGTTATTAGCGAAGTTATGAATGATATCGCGGCGATACCCACCGATGCGTCGTTGTTAGCGTGAATGGTAATTGATCCAATTACGTTTTTCGGGTGAAAGTAGCCCGGGGATACTTTCGTTTCTTCTTCCGTCGGCTTTAAACAGGTGGGGGATAGGTGGCAATTGATCGAAGGGTAGGTGTTTTATACGTTTCGAAATCATAATGATATTTAGTTTCATCGTGTCGTAACTGACCCGTCTGTTGCAATTTGTTTTTCAATTCAATAGTTTTACATTTATTTTCTTTAACGTCAGTGAGAAGAATCACAAGATCTGTGAATCGAGATCCATAAATTAGCGACGTACGATCTTTGGCAAATGGAATCTCGATTGCCGTAGAATGCGTAGGTAATATACAGATCAGATATTAATGGTCCGGCGAGCAACGTAAGTAGAAACAGTTCCATCGCGAAATGGATGGGAGTCCAGGATCGATTAGGGTTACTTTTACGCACGATATCGATACGCGAAGCGTAACCACGAAGTATTCCGTGTCGTTCGGGGTAGGAGCGTGGTTACACAACGAAACCAAGCGCGCTTACTCCCGTGTGTTATTGAAGTGGTTCGCCCACCGGCACGGCACGCTTTCAAAGCTTAGAAAGCTATCTATAGATCGGGGAAGCGCTTTCAACGATGTGGGTGGCGACCTCAGCTCGTTCCACTGGGTGATTCTACGAACGTAGAGGGTCGACGACGCACGGAAGTCCAGCGACCAGTGTTTATATTCCAGATATTTACGAAATGTCACCGACTCAACCGAATCATTTTACTTAATGTTCATTTTTACCAAATTGGTAAATGGAAGTCAACCTTCCTATAAAACATTTAAACTATAACGAACTAATAAAATAATTACATTGACGTAATATTAAAGAATTATTAGTTTAACCCCTTCCCGTGCTTTAACGAGTCTGACTCGTGATGAAGATTTTGGCCCAAATATGAATATCACGAATCGTGATTGAGTTTTAATTCCTATCGGTCTTATAATCTCTGTTGCAAAGCAGTTTAGTATCAGTCTGGTCTGTTTGAGCCTGGATTTCGTCGAGGTAAATGGCACGGGAAAGGGTTAAACTCGCAGAGGGTTAACGAACCCCGACGTTCGGAGATGTCCAAAAAATACTAATATCGTTGGAGCAAATTTTTGTTTATATTTGTAAATAAATGTAACTCGAAACCTTTTGTCACTTGAGATTACCAAGTAATTTCGAAATATATTTTCAAATATTCTTTGCTCACGATTTCATGCTGAATATCCACTTCTGTTGCAGTTTGTATCGGAACCAATGGCCGCCTCTCCGTTCCGTCCAACAAACAGCACCACTACCGGAATCTTCGAGACCGGTACACCAACTGTACTTATGTCGACGGCAACCTGGAGATCACATGGCTCCAGAACGAGACATTCGACCTCAGCTTCCTCCAGTATATACGAGAGGTCACCGGCTACGTCCTCATCAGCCACGTGGACGTCCGGAAGATCGTTCTGCCGCGGTTGCAAATCATACGCGGCAGAACTCTCTTCAAGCTCAATATTCACGTCACCGAGTTCGCCCTGTTCGTCACGATGTGTCAGATGCACAACTTGGAGATGCCGGCCCTCAGAGGTAAATCCACCTTTTCCATTTTTTCATTCTTCATAATACAGATTTTAATATTGCTCCGGTTTTTCACATTCTCGACAATTATAATCAAATCTTCGTATTAAAATACAAACAAAAGGTGTTTAAAAATGAATTATTTTGAATACAAGATTGCTCTTAGCGAAGTAACCGTCCGCTCTAGTATTAGTTTTGCAGCGTGAAATTAATACCGCGACGAAACTAAACAGTACGTGTCGTTGCCAGATATCCTCAACGGCAGCGTGGGCATGTACAACAATTACAACCTCTGCCACATTCGAACGATCAACTGGGACGAAATAATCACCAGCCAGGGTGGAACGTACTCCTACGTGTACAATTTCACGTCGCCGGAGCGCGTCTGTCCATCGTGCGACAAGAGCTGCGAGCAAGGTTGCTGGGGCGAGGGGCCTGAGAATTGTCAGAGGTACTCGAAGACGAACTGTTCGCCCCAGTGCTGGCAGGGCAGGTGCTTCGGGCCCAATCCGCGAGAGTGTTGCCATCTTTTTTGCGCCGGTGGCTGCACGGGCCCGAAACAGAGCGACTGCCTCGCTTGCAAAAACTTCTTCGACGACGGTGTGTGCACGCAGGAATGCCCGCCCATGCAAAAGTAAGTAGACGGCTCCCATCGTTAACGACCCCGTTGAAACGCGTATTTCGAGCAAATTCATACCCGATCCTTAATCAGCGATAGTTCGCAAACGCTAACGTACGACCAAGATGAAATTTGATTGATTTGTACATAAAATTTTACCGGAGTTCTCGATGTAAAATAAAATAAAATGTTCCATTAAACGATACCGATGCACGCTTCTCAAGTATGACGAGTGTGAACTCGAAAATAATAAAACGTTTGACACTAGTATGCTCATTGTCGATAAATCTGTGTCGCGTCGGTGTTGGTCTCGTAGAGGCTAGGAGTTCGGATCTCCTTAGAAACTTTACGACCTAGCATTGAAACGACAACGATCGTTTCAGGTACAATCCTACGACGTACTCGTGGGAGGCTAATCCTGACGGTAAGTACGCGTATGGTGCAACCTGCGTGAGAAAGTGTCCTGTGCACCTCTTGAAAGACAACGGGGCTTGCGTAAGGTCCTGTCCGCCGAAAAAGAAAGCGCTCCACGGGGAATGCGTGCCCTGCGACGGGCCTTGCCCGAAAACCTGCAAGGGCGTGGACAAAGTACATTCCGGGAATATAAACAGCTTCAAGGATTGCACGATCATCGAGGGCTCGATCACGATTCTAGACCAAAGCTTCAAAGGTTTCCTACATCTCTTCAAGAACTACACATTGGGGAAACGATACGAGGAGATGCATCCCGACAAACTGGAGGTGTTCAGCACGCTGAAAGAAGTCACCGGGTTCTTGAACATCCAAGGGGACCACAAGGACTTCAAGAACTTGTCCTACTTCCGGAACCTCGAGGTGATCGGTGGTAGAACGCTGACGGAATATTTCGCGTCGATGTACATCGTGAAGACTTCGTTGGTGTCGTTCGGGCTCAGCTCCCTCAAGAAAATTTACTCCGGCTCGATCGTCATTTTGGAGAACAAGAATCTGTGTTACGCGCAGAGTATCAATTGGACTAGGATGAAGAGATCGTCGGAACACGAGATTCTATTGTCGAACAACCGGAACGAGACCGAGTGCAGTGAGTATAGCTACGACGAAAAATGTATTGACTGAGAAGTAAATTTAATTTAAGAACTGATATCGATATCTTCCTCTAATTATAGTAAAAGATGGATTGGTATGCGACGAGCAGTGTTCCGACGATGGCTGTTGGGGGCCCGGTCCGGCGCAATGTCTATCCTGCAAGAACTTCATCTTAGGGAACGATTGCCTTCAAGACTGCACTGCACCAGGGTAAGGATGCGTTTCAACGATTTAAATATACAACAAACTTTTACGAACCTGGCAATAACAACTGTTACTTCTGTTGTGTTTAAATTTGCCCACCTCAGATCGTGGATCGAAGGTAAACTACATTAACCCGAGGAGATGTTAGCTTTCTGTCTCGCACGCGTATAATCTTGCACCGTTGTCGAACAGCGTTAACTCGAATTTAAACGCTCACGAGTGGTCCCTTCTTCTCTCCTAGAATTTACCAAGCGGACAAAAAGACCTGCAAGCTGTGCCACGAGGAGTGCGACGGTTCTTGCACGGGACCGAACGCGGAGCACTGCACGAAATGCAAACACGCGCGAGACGGTCCCTTCTGCGTACCCGAATGTCCATCTTCCAAGTATAACGACAACGGCGAGTGCAAGGACTGTCACGAGAACTGCGTGGGTGGCTGCGATGGGCCTAAGAACAACATAGGCCCTAATGGATGTCACAGCTGCGATAAGGCGATCATGAACGGAACCGTACCTGAAGGATGTTTGCAGAAAGGAGAACCCTGTCCAGACGGTAAGGAATTCTTGGCACGATAAATTCGATGTTTGTCCGACTCATTAATCAAAAATAATCTGCTCGAAACTGTATGGCGAAGCTTCGCTACTGCGTCATTCGTATTGTTCTTAAACGAAAATAGAAAATTCTGAGTATATTAAATTATAGAGTCAGTTGCCCTGATATCTATTGACTATGAAGGCAATCGATTACTAGCATGCAATTTCGTTCCAAGTCATTCGACCGGTCGTGGTAGGTTTAGTGTTAAGAAACCGACAAACGACCCACGTAAAAGATCGTATTTTCTATGAGAGAATTTAATGGACTAAGATTTAGAAAGAGACGAGAACGGGCGAGTGAGACTGCTGTTATTTCTTAAAGGGCATTACTACGAGTGGGTGAGTCCTCAAGAACAAGGAGAGCTGAAGCATTTAGCAGGGAAGGCCGTCTGCCGCAAATGCCACCCTCGTTGCAAGAAATGCACAGGATACGGTTTTCACGAGCACGTGTGCCAGGAGTGCACGAAGTACAAGAAAGGCGAACAGTGCGAGGACGAGTGTCCAGCGGATCACTTTGCGGACGCGGACACGCAGCTTTGCATACCGTGCTTCAGCGAGTGCCGTGGATGCTTCGGACCGGGCCCGAATCAATGCTACAAATGTCGAAATTACAAAATCAATGTGGTGAGTGACGTACTGTTAGAATATTTTTAGTTCTAAAAGATCTTTATATAACGTTTCAAATGCATTCGCCAATTTTTACGTACTTCTTTCAGGACGAAGATATAGATGGCAACGTGACGTCCTTCAACTGTACAGAGATATGTCCACCCGAGTATCCTTACAAGATCTTCCCTCTGGACAGCGAGCCGTATTGTTCCCTGGAAGTAGTCGATCCTGGACTCCGTGTGGAAAACGAACTTCAACCGGCTATCCTGGCGGGCGTAGTGGTGTTTACGTTGGTGTTCATCGTGGTAGCGGCCGTGATCATGTACTTCTGCCGCGTACGGGCGAAGGCGAAGGAGAACGCGGTCAAGATGACGATGGCGTTCACCGGGTTGGACGATAACGAGCCTTTGCGTCCAACAGGCGTGAAACCGAATCTGGCGAAACTGCGTATCATCAAAGAGGAGGAGATGAGAAAAGGTGGGATCCTGGGGTACGGTGCCTTTGGAAACGTCTACAAGGGCGTATGGGTGCCGGAAGGTGAAAATGTGAAGATACCGGTGGCCATTAAAGTCTTGCACGATGGCACGGGCGCGAACACCTCGAAGGAGTTCCTCGACGAGGCGTACATCATGGCCAGCGTGGAACACCCGAATCTGCTTCAGCTGCTGGCCGTCTGCATGACCTCGCAGATGATGCTCGTTACTCAGCTGATGCCGTTAGGTTGTTTGCTCGATTTTGTGCGTACGTTCAAGGATAAAATCGGTTCCAAAGCACTCCTGAATTGGTGTACACAGATCGCCAGGGGGATGGCCTACTTGGAAGAGAGGAGATTAGTCCATCGCGATCTCGCCGCTCGTAATGTCCTCGTGCAAACGCCCAATTGCGTGAAGATCACCGATTTCGGTTTGGCCAAGCTCCTGGACATCAACGAGGAACAGTACAAGGCTGCCGGCGGCAAAATGCCGATCAAGTGGCTGGCTCTGGAATGCATCCAGCATCGAGTCTTCACCCACAAGTCGGACGTTTGGGCATTCGGTGTAACCATATGGGAGGTCCTCACTTATGGCGGCAGACCGTACGAGAACGTTCCCGCCAGAAACGTGCCGGAACTGTTGGAGAAAGGCGAGAGGCTACCACAACCGGCGATCTGCACGATCGACGTTTACATGATCATGATCAAGTGTTGGATGTTGGACGCCGAGTCCAGGCCCAGTTTTAAGGAACTGGCGGAGGACTTTGCGAAGATGTCTAGAGATCCTGGTCGATATCTTGCCATCAAGGGCGACAAATACATGAGATTACCTTCGTATACACTGCAGGTTGGTGATATTTATATTGCGTAAAAAAATCATCCTCTTCTATCTCGTTTATGTAAATCTTCCGTCAGTTCATTATTTTTCAAATGCTTTAAAGGAAATTTGATTTCCACTTACCAATTTGGTAAAAATCAACATTAAGTAAAATAATTCAGTTGAGATTGAGAGTCCACTTAAGAATAGCTAAAATATCGTCCAATATATAATCTACCATACGTAATGTTTAAATTCAAGTAACGAAGGTATAATTTGTGATGTTTTCAGGACGAAAAAGAGATGATACGGAATCTTGCATCGGCCATTGACGGCCCCGAGGCGTTAGTCGATGCCGACGAGTACCTTCAGCCGAAATCCAGGGCTCCGATTCCACCTGGACTTTCGGCGTCCAGTACTTCCGGCTCCCCGCCGAACACCCCCGTGAAAACTGGCTGGCCCAATGGTAAACCGCTCGCCGCCGACTCTCCCACGCCCCAAAATCAACAAAACTGGGACAGAGAGTTGTTGAGGTACGGAGCGAATCATAGAAACGGAAACGCGCCCCACGAGCCCGGAAACTCTGGCCAGCACGCGCACTTCGCGCCTCCGAACGGCCATTGCGGACATCCCATAGGTTCGGACAGCACCAGTTCAAGATACTGTTCGGATCCGTTGAAGATGATCGGCGTCAGAGGTCCGTTTCATTGCTATTAAATAATGTACACAAATTTTATAGAAAATTGTAATGAATTTGTTTGTTTAGATTGTGATGTAACGGACGATTGTTTCGACGGTGAGATGAACTCCGCGCACCAGCAGGCTCAAGTAGGTAACCTGAAGTTAGACTTGCCATTAGACGAAGACGATTATTTGATGCCATCGCCGCAATTGCCGACAAATACGACGCAATACATGGATCTCATAGGGGACTCGAAACCCACGGGTAAACAAAAATGCACCGTTAATCTCTAGAGACACTATTGAAAAAATTAAACACGTACGGAAGTCCAGTAAGAGGACCTCAACAATTTTCTTTCGAAAGGGAACTATCAGGCATATTAATTTCAAACTTCGTATTGTAGATTTATCTATACGTATATCGCCAATATGAATTTTTCTCAAGTTCAAACGAATGATTTTTTTCGATCGTTTCCAGAATTGGAACCAAAGCGAGTCAACAACGGTTACCGGAAGTACCCAGAATTCCTGACCATCCCGGGTAAAACATCGTTGGATAATCCGGAGTACATAATGTCCCAGGACGAAGGACCGTTGACTCCGCAGACTTTAGGTATTCCAACGCCCGATTTGGAGAAGGTATTAACGAACGGGAACTTTGGGTCTCAGGTGAGACAAAGGAGTTCCGAGGAAGAATCCGACCACGAGTACTACAACGACTTCGATCGCCTGGAACGGGAGTTGCAGCCGCTGAAGCCACTTAGGAAGAACGAGACGACTGTCTGAGTCCAAGGTTTCCGAAGGATACTGAACAAGGACTGTTCCGTTGTTTGAAACCGGAAACAGAAGGTCGATATCGCTCGTCCGTCGCCCGAGGTCGAATCGATCTCGGACTCGACGGACGGGAAACCTAATCGGTACACGGAATCCAGTTCCTCGCAATGAGGAAACTTCAGAGTACTTAGAGAGGACACTTCGCCAAAGTGCCGTGTTTTGATTGTGATTAGACGTAAAACGCGAGAACTGTGCTAAATTCCCCAGCAGAGTTTAAGGGAACTTATCCCACACACGATGGACTGTCGCGCGTGCGTACGATGAACAAGTAGTGCAAAGATAATCTTAATGTGCCATTCGCCGTGGCTTGTAAATAAAGTAGTGTCTACCACTTCTTTAGGGTTACAGAGAGTTTAAGGATCGACGTGCAGTAAATGGCATAGAAAATTGTCTCGCTTTTACTTTCGCCTGACTTCGACGGTCCATGTTCGTTACATCTTCCTCTTTCCTTATAGAGACCACAGACCCGAGGATTCTTCGTAGAATAATTTTTACGACTGTTTGCATCAATATACGTAGAGTCGTTGTACAACTCGTGCCGCGCTTTCGTACGATGAATCGTCGCGTTTGTGGCCCCTATTGGTTTCTTCCACAAAGAACGGACAAGGAAAACAATCATTCCGATCGCGAACGTGGACCTCGCCTGTCTCTTCGAAAATTCAGAACCACCCTCTTCTGTCTCTTCTAATTTAAAGAGCACGAATCATGAGATGTCGATAAATTGTACGCGGGGCCGTTACGCGAATCACAGAAGATCCGATGAAAATTTTCTTTAACCGCCCCGAGTGCGGAACATCTGCGCGGTTCGCCGTTGACTGTGATAAAGAAACGTTCTACTGCTTCACGAAGACACTTTGAACATCTCAATCGTTAAACAATCCACTCTTGCCCCCCTTTTAACCCCCCTGGGTCGCAGTAAGCTACGACGTTACGACGAATTGTCCTAATTTACTGCCCGAACGTGAAGAGTTTCCGGAGTCGCGACACGATGGTCGGACGAGACCCGAGAGAACACACGCGTCTCGTGACTCTACTTAAACGACCCCCTGTATTCTTTTATTTTTCATGCCATCGCCTTAGGAAAAGGGACCAATGAAATTGGCCTCGGCCGTAGCCCGCGGATGCATCTCGACTTTTTTTTTTTTATATAGAAAACGCGTTTTGTAAATAGATTAGTGGTTTAGCGCGTAAGACTTCTACTGAACGTAGAGAACGGAAATGTACTTGAGTAAACTAAGCGAAACAAAAAAAAAAAAGAATAAAAATAGAACTGTAACGTTTTAAACGAGAAAATGAATAACGGGCGAGAAATGTAATAGGATTAGGACGTGCCATGTTGTGTATGTGTACAGGGAACGCGCGAAACGGCGATAACACGGTTCTCCACGTGTTCACACGGAAGTTAAACGGTGAAACGGATCCAACCAGGCGTCGCGTTTCATTGCAAAAGGTGTGCACGAGCGTGTGCGAGACTGACGATCTCATTCGCGATGGTGAAACCTTGTTAGAGGGAATATAGAATTCAACGTCGCGCGCTCTTCTGTGATAAAAATGGGGAACAACCTTCGAAGAAAATTGTATCATTTTTTTTTTTTGTTTTTTTTTTAACGCGGTTTGTTTGTTTTTTGTTCGTTGTGGGAACAATCGCACACGGATTTCCAATCTCGTCACACGCGAACTGCAGTGTCTTGTTCTTAACGATGTAAGCATTGTAAGCCAATACGTATCGTGTACATTTCATTAAGCGTTACTAATGGTTACGTTAGCGATTTCTCTCCTTGTAATATATCATTCACTTGCGTCGCCGAGCGGATCAGCGTGCACCATCGCCGGGAAACGTGTACGCGCGTAACTCGATGTTCCCGATGAAAAAGAAAGAAAAAAAAAAAAATGTAATGTTAAACGTGTCTTTCTTCCATTCTCCCCTCCACACCCCCGAAAAAAACCCCTTACTTAGTCCCGTTTCTATGATTTTAATGTAAAACCCGACAAAAAACTGCGAGTGTGAATTTAGAAATTGTACAATACGTTTGATCGCCGGGATAAATAGCTGCGAGGAATTGCATTTGCCATTCGGTTGTGGACATAGAACTTATAAAACTTTATAATATCATTATATTATCGTAAAGAAATTATTGTAATAAAGAGCCACCATCATTCTTACGAGGTTTATGACTCATCCCTGTTTTTTTTCCACTGCGCTCCTTCGTTTCGACTCGAACATTGCTTTCATTTAGTTATTTCGCGGGTATAAAGTATACAATACAAACGATATAAAATATACGAGTGACGTGTAATATGCAGGGAATGAAATAAAGTACAAGACACGTTTCAGACGATCGTTATTTAGTGGGTATCCAGGGGAGGTTCCCCCAAGAGTTATGAAATCTTAAAAAAAGTAGATCCAGTGACGGATATAGAAGTACCAAAAGGGAGGAGGCTAACAAAAACTGGTAAAAATATTCGAGACTTTTATCACTTGGAAATTGTAAATGTAAATAGAAATGTTGAAGTTTAGATAATTGTTCAATCGTAGTTTGTAAACAATTAATATTTTTGCGCTTAGAAGTGAAAGCGACTCAGATACTTCTCAGTTTATTAATTAGTAAGGGGCTCTAAAAGAGTATAAAACCTTGCACAGGGTAGTTCTTTCAACAATAGAAAATATATTGGCCAATGAAAAAGAATTTGCCGCAGGGGGCTGGAATCAAGGCTGCATGGTTGGGAAATTCCGACCATAAGTCGCAGAGACACCATCTTACTTTAAGAAACCAGCAGGCGAATAAAACTGTTTATCAAATATTTTTCTACGAAGTTTCATTAAAATCGGTGATATGGTCTCCTCGTAAAAGGTGCTTAAAAGTGAAGTTCGTAAAAATATAATTACAATTTCTACAAAATAAATGACAGAAAAAAAAATATAAATAATCTCGTTGGAACAAACGATTATACATTTCAACTTTTAATGTGGGTTAAGTTCATAATATAGTACGATATGATAACGATCGGTTGTGTACACTATTCGTGATAATTCGACGTGTGTATATGTACGGAATGCTACGTGTGGTTGTGAGGTGATTACTTGATTTATATATCTTACTCAAATTCGTCCAGCTGTATCGTCAGTTACACGCCGATCGTCGTGCGCCGCGGATAATTACAAGTTTTAACGAACAAACGATCCGTGAATTTTATCGAACGTATTACACAAATGAAAAGTTAAGGTGCAGTGGAAAATATAAAATAAAGTATTGATAAAAGATATCAAATGTAAAATGTGTCGATTTGTTTATCGGAAATCTGGAATTTAATGACTTCCTCGATTTCTTGTTACAGTCAAAATGGTGACGATACACGATCCATATCTCAGGCATCTTTTCGACAATCAGTCTATATTTAACGTTTATAACGAAGAAACTATGAACTTATCGGTCGGTGCTCCAGGTCCTGACCTGCTCCAACACTGCGTGGATATGTTACAAAGAGCGACAGACCACAGATTGGTATGAGTTTACCATTTATCGTATTATTGTTTAAACTTAAATCAACAGCTTGGAACGTATTACAAAATTAAGCACGTCTGAACGTCGATCGTTGCAACTTTTTAAAATTCTTTTCCCTGTTCGCATGAATTTCAAAATTAACAAAATTAAATCTTTCATCGTATGCTACATTTGATCGAGCATTTATTGCAGAATCGGAATTTCGCGTAGCTTTAACTAGGATGAATTTACTGTACTCAAAATAATCTTCGTCTAGGAAGAAGAGAAGAAGGAAGGTAAGTATTTTCTTTTTCAATATGGCACGCAAGCTGGTCTGTGGGAATGTCGCGAAGAATTGGCGAACTTCCTGACCAGACGATATGACGATCCAGTGAAAAGAGAAAACTTGATCTTGACCTGCGGAGCCTCGCACGGCATTCAGCTATTATTAAACACCGTGCTCTCACCAAATGGAGTTATTTTTGTAGAGGAAGTCACTTATATGATAGCCTTGGATGTTTTCAAACAATTTCCACTGATGAAAATAGTAACTGGTACAAACAACATACTTTTTTCATATTTAAACAAAAAATTTTAACATTAGAATAAAATTGACACATCGATTTATCATTTTTTATACCGTTTGGTATCAAATCGAAATCCTAATTCTCGTTACGGAAACATTCTATAACATTTCATTAATCCGATATCGACCAGTTGTTTTCGATTAGATACTTGAAGAATGATTTAAATATATTTTCTTCGACACAGTACCAATGAAAAATGATAACGTAGACTTGGACGCGTTCGAGAAAATAATCGCGGAGGAGAAGAAGAATAATAACTTCTTCCTCACCGACGAGAAGATATTCTGGGCAATGTTTTACACTATTCCCACTTTTCACAACCCGACCGGAACCACTTTACCACCAGGTAGACGATAAATTGTATTTTAAGAAATCACAATACGATCGACAATTGATATTGTTACTTCGTAATAGAAAGTTGTAAGCGTCTGGTCGAAATAGCACGGAATAATTCCATAATGGTCGCCTGTGACGATGTATATAATTTGCTTTATTACGGAAATGGTTCCCCACCGCATCGATTATTCTTTTACGACGATCCAATGGATCCTGATTACAAAGGTGGTAATGTTGTGTCGAACGGATCGTTTTCGAAGATTCTATCGCCGGCAATTCGTTTCGGATGGATCGAATGTCCACCGCGAGTAGCGAAGATCTTTAGATCATCGTAAGCAGATTCTCTGTTTCGGTATAGAAATTACAGAATGTAAAAGTTTTGTCAGCTTATTATACCTGGTCAGATTTTTATGATAATTTTACAATTTCCAGAGGGATCATGCTCAGCGGTGGTGCAGTTAATCATTATGTTTCGGGCGTGATCGCAAGTTTACTTCATCTAAACATCGAAGACGAATATCTCGATAAGATTATTAATATTTATAGGGTAGGCGAGCTTCACAAATATTGTTTATTTAGCTATACATATAGCACTCCATATTGTTCAAATATAAAATTGAATATTGTTTTTGTAGGAACGATTATCATTATTATGCGATACGTTGGATCGCTATTTACCAAAGTGCTGTTCGTACTATCGCCCGGAAGGTGGTTACTTCGTATGGATTCATCTTCCACCAGGTATATATAATATTGTCTGTTTTATTTAACAGTATTTATTGTAACGTTCAATTATCAAAGAGATGTTAATGTTTTTTGCAGAAGTAAATGGTAGTGATTTTATTAAATGGTGTCAAGAAAAGCACAATGTAACTGCTATACCAGGAACACGATTTTCATACAGCGGAAAATGCAATAATTTCTTGAGACTTAGCATAGGTTTTCATAGGAAAGAGGTTTTAGAAATTGCATCCAGAAAACTTTGCAAAGCTCTTCAATATTACATAAGCCATAACACAGTGTGACCAATTATAAGTAATTGCAGTTATCTACCAATTATCGTCAAGGATATAGCATTTCTTACACATTAAATAAATTTAACTGTTAAACTATTTGTAAATTATTTGACTTGTATATATTAATTTTACTGTCTATAAATAAATTGCGTGTATAAATATGGATGTCGACGCGTGACGTCAGCGGTCAGATTTATTGATGACAACAGCTATAGTTAGAGTTTTGGGGGTAGTTATTCGTAAAGATGGTTTGTAAAAAGCATCTGTTTAGGATAAAGGCCATAAAATAATTTACATGCTTACAAACGGTGCAAGGGGGGACACCAGGTAAGGGCACATGGAATGTGGTGGGGCCTTAACGAACGTAGGGTTTCGGAATTTTGTTTGTGAAGAATGGAAAGTCAGAGTCTTGAAAAACGTGCAAAGTCCATTGTGTGAAACAATCGAATGGACTCTGAATGAAATGAACTTGTAATTATGGATGCGAATGGTGCTAGTGAACCGGCGATGGAAGTTTTGGCTTATTCTCAGATATATACATTTATTAAATGTTTATCTACAACAGATTATACAGAAAGTAACTAAAACTGATTATTCAGATTCACCTAAAAGTTCTTTTTGTTTAGTTTCCAATAGTTGTTCTGCTCTACCAACATATTCACGGCTCGTATGACTTATGTAACCTTCGATCCTAAAACTTAAATCTTCAGGCAAAGAAGTTTTCTTTTTTACATCTCTGACATACTTATTCCGTATATCTGTAATACTATCTTTGCATTTGACAAAGTATACTTTTGCTGTCTTTGCTAAATTTTCTCTGTGCACTCTTGTGACTCTACTCGATTACAAAATGACATTAATGTATTTCATAAAAAATAACAGCATATTCTTTAAAGTTTATCTAATCAAACTTACTTTGGTATCGGAATATAAAGTGTTGTACCCTGTTGTTGTGGGTTTAAGTTCATTTGAGATTTTGATAACGCATCAACGATGTTTGGGATTACTTGCGGAAATGTATCCACATTTATTACAATTAATTTAGGTTTTCGATTAATTTCTACCAGTTCTTGAAGCTTATACTCATCTCCGTCGTGTTTCACTACTAGATCTTCGATAGCACCGATACTTGTACGCAGACCCACATGTTTTATCATCTGCTCTTTATACTGATCAACCACTTTGTCAAATTGTGACAACATGCGTTCTACATCTATAACTTCAGCCACCTCGTTCAAATTTACATGCACAGGTTGTGATTTATTTTTGGCTTTAGCTTTTAATGAGACGTGTGTGGTTGAAAAATAATTAACATTACCCAAATTCGAAGGAGAATATGGGAAAAAACGCATATTGGAAATATAATACTGTGCTAAAATGTTCCTTGGACTTATATAATCGTGTAAAGTATTCACATATTTAATTGAACAATTGTTTGATTTTAAAACAAGATGTCTTAAGAGCCTTGGTAAATTCATGTTTAAATTTATAATTTATTTATTTATAAATCCACACTTTCATATGTCTCTATTTAAGACGTATGCATACATACGAGTGGCGATGATTTTTTATATTTACAAATATCACGATAACATAATTTTGTTAGAATCACACATAATAGAAATTCAAATAAACTTTGAGGTTAAAGTACCTCAATAAACTTAGGAAATTTTTGAAATACTAGGAAACTAAATTTAATCTTGCTTATGCAACTAGTTAAATCACTAGAATATACTTATATTCAACTTAGATTTTTTATTAATACATTTATCATTAACTGTATTTATTCAAAGATAAATTTAACTTTTGTGCCATGATATTGTAATAAATTTTGTATTGATTGTATAGTAAGTAACATAATAAAACCACAGAATAATGAATATATAGAAGTTTCATTTCGAGACGGTACCGTTGATGTAGCTAGTTAGGTATGTATTTCTTTTTATACAAGTGCACATCGACAAAGTACAAACAGCGAAAGTTCGTACATTAAAAAATTGAAATTGTAATAGATTTTTGTAATAGAATTATATAATAGAAATACTAGGACTGTTGGAGACGGCGAATCAGTGATGCCAGATTGTGCACCGGGTGCACTACTCACACTATGCCAGATCACGCGTACGTGAGCTCGTGGGATTTCGGAGAGTCGACAAATCGATTGATTACTCCAATGAAATTAATCGATTAATGTCCAATGATGGACCGTACAGCTTTAATTCCGTTAAAAAATAATAAAATTTATGTAATTTTATTTTCTGTCTCACTTCCTCTTGTGTTAATTTCTGAATCTGTTGATAACGTTGCGAGTGACACGAAAATGGTAATGGGGGTCCCGGGACCCCAGAAACTCCGGTCGAAAAATTAGGTGAAAGGTCTATTCCTATACCTCGTCTGTGGTGAAAGCCACAATTGTCTGTCCATCAATACTAATTCAGCGAATAATTTCTCAACTTACGAGGACGCTAAAATCACCTCCGAATTTTTCGCTCGGTATGGCAGTCAGATTGGGCCACCAATCGTTGAACACGATTTCACTTGTAAATATATTTACTATTTTATAATAAATAAAATGTAATTCTTTGATTTTGTGTGTGTGCATGAGTTGGAAACATCACTTGCGTTAATTTTAACTTAGTTTACGCGACGAAACTTGACATTTTCAGATCTTGTTCATTTTTTCTATTTTAAGTAACAGATTTTGTCTTCCGGGATGAATTTTGTACAAACACGAGGACGCCGTCGCCTTCTGGTGGGTTCTCCTTCTATTTTTACTTCCTTCTTTCTCGTTAGTGGCACCAGACCCACTTCCCTTTTCCAATTCTGCAATTAAAAATAAAGTCACTCGAACAATCGAGGCCTAAAAATAGTATAATCGAGTCAAACTTGTAGTTGTCATATAAAGTTTGGCTTTCAATTAGTAAAAGACAATTAAATTATTAAATTTCGACTTATGGATAAATATAATAGATTTTGCGTGCCTCCACAGCTTTGAGAATTGGATAAAGCGGTCTAACGCCTTTGGATTCGCTGATGACCTCTTCTGAATAATTAATCACTCTTTGATTGTCTTTTTCGATAAGATGATCCATCTTTGCAGCCGTTTCTTCGAGAAACTTTTCCCGATTTTGGTCAGTCTCCTTCTCGATCTGTAAGAAAACCAAAATACAGACATTTATTAACATAATTTACTGCATACTCTCAAATTATTCATTCCTTTAAGCTATGTGCCTGATAAAATATAAATTTTTAATAAAATTCACGTCCTAGGATCGAATTTTCTCGAAAAAATATTTGTATTAGGGAATGAAACTAGTCAGTTTAATGATATATTTGGCGATTTAACTTGCAATGTTTTTTTTTAGTGAATTTGCGTATTCTATTTTCTTGTTCCACTCTCGTTTCTGTTCCTCCGCGCCCATATTTTTATCACACTCGTCCTTTTTGAATCTACGCATTATTTCCCAGGCTTTCAGGTCCTTTTCTTCCTCGAGCTGCCCTAACTTCTCAAGCATTGCTTTCTTATGAAAATCTTGAGTTTCTTTTCGTAGTCTCGCCTCGTATTCACTTCGTTCTTTATCCTTTTCTCTCAGATTAGCCTCTTTCTCTTCTACAGCCTTAATAAAGTTCTTCTCCCATATGTCTGATGAACTCACTGGCGCTTGACAGTTTTCCACTGTAAAAATAATTTATTTCTTATATTTTCAATTGTTTATACACAATTAAGAATATGTTATGATATTGTTATTAAATTACTTGTCCATTTGGCCTTTTTCTCAAATTCTTTTTTTCTATTCTCCGCCACTTGCTTATGGATCATTCTGATCCGTGATTTAGCGTTTTGATAAACATCAATCGCACGATCTTCAAACTTCTCTTCCTTCTTGATTTTCAGATCGAATTCATTTCGCTCTTTTATCGCGTCTTCAAAAAATTTTTTCAATTTTCTTTTCGTATTTATTGACTGCAAATATATTTTATATGTATTAAATAATAAATTAATCACTGAATAATTAAAATTAGTCGCGTTGTATAGACAACAGTCGAATTTCCAAAATGGAAATTAAACAGAACGATTCTACGCCTATAAAAATCACGAACTTCCTGTTCCTCGTGTTTCTTGAGATCTTCCAAATATTTGTCTGTTTCTTTTTGATATTTTTTATCGGCTTCAAATTCTTTCATTTCTTTCTCCTTCGTTTGCTTTTCATTTTCTTCGATCCTGAAACAGTTAAATATATTATTTGAACATTATGAATACTTTTCTTATTAAATATTTTTTATTTACTGGCTTTTTAGGTCGAAAGCGTATTTTTTCATTTTCGAAATACGATTTTCCATCGTTTCTTTCTGTTCTTTCTCGTATTTTGCCACATCCGCTTTTAGTAAATTTGCATAGTTCAATTCTGCATTTTTGTCTATGGCTTTTAGATCCTTTTGGAATTGTATTTGAGCGTCCAGTTCTCTGAAACACTATATAAATTATGGCGAATGATTGCAAATCGTTTTTTAAATGAAAATTTACTTTTTAAATTCAGAAATTGTAACTAATTTAATTTTTATTATATTTAATGTTAATATCCAATTCTTCCAATTCTTCGAAACATTATGAAGACCATAGTAAATTATTCTGCATAGTTTTTCGAACGAATTTTAATTTTTTAAATTGGAAAATAAAATTAATTTGGACGTTATGGAAAAATATTGACTATTTTTATTATTTACAATATTAGTATTTGTTTAAACATGCCTCGGAAGAAAGGAGAGCCTGATTAATTTCTCTGCATATCGGTTTTCTATAAAGAATTAACCTTTTCGCATGTTTTATTACTTCTTCCCTTTCTGCTAATTTTTTTTTCAAACTTTCTTCCAGAAATTTTTTTCTTTCTTCTTCGGATTGTTTCTCTTTTTCCAAAAATTCTTTTATTCTTTGTTTCCTGATATCCTGTTAAGAGAAATATGTGTGACATTCAGTTTATGAATTTAACAATATTTGAAAAATTAATTTGGAAAGTTTCAAAGCATATTTTTTGCAATTTTAACTGGAAATTATTTTCGAAGTTTAATCATTTTTACACGATTGAAATAACAAAATTTATTCAAACAATTAGCAAGATTTATTCGAATAAATTGTATGAATAAATAACAAGATTTATAACATTATAAATAAATAAAAAGAATACCAATGGAGCGTCCTGATTGATGGTCTCATCCATGGTGTCTGATATCTGGAAAAATAAATTTCTTTTACAGAATAATATTCTTTTATTCTTATTCAAACATTTTCTCCCATTCGAATAGTATCTTATTCAAATAATTTCTAAATTCAAATGGATATTTGTTCTCAGAGGCGAATAAAATTCCCAATATTCATTCGTTACTCGAATAAAACGCTGCTCAGTTTTGTTTCAAAAAAATCATTATTCTTTCATCATTAACAAACGATATTGCGACAGAAATATCTGTAAATGCTTGAAAACAAATAATAATACTAAAAGTGACGTGTAACTTGTGTAAGAACATAATCTTTGATGCACTACTATTTCTAAACAAAATTAGCATTGTTCAGTATTTCTAGAAGTGTTTTATTTTGTACAACTGCTATTTTAAAGAGAAAAATCTGAAAAAATTTCATAAAATTTACCTCGGCGTCAGAAATGCTGACAGGAAAAATCGATCCACGGTTACTACGATACAAAACAAATGTCTTTCACCATTTTCACAAGTTTGTTATATTTTGCAACTTCTATTTTTGAAAGGAAACATTCGAAAAACTTTACAAAGTCACGACACCGGAAATAATAAATAATATCTTCAAATAATTAAAATTTTAATATATAAATCAGATTCAAATTTTAAATCGTGCAAAAGAAGGTTTAAGAATATTCTTTTACAACGAAACAACACGAACAATTATACTCTGCTGGTCGAAACTTTATTTTCAGGTGTAGAAAGCTCGAAACGAACTGTCTCTTGTTTCTCGAGGGGTATAACCGAAACCCTTGGAAAATCAGGGTGAATTGAACAGAGGGGGAGAAGAACTTTGGCAATGATCGATTCTGGCAGTGTCGAATATGCGTGCCAAATGTTTTATCATCGATACGCCTAACAATTCGACCCCTAACTCCTTCACCAATCGTTCTCAACTTTCAACGTACATAATATTCCATTCAAAGTTTAAGTATAAAACATAAATAAACGAAAGACTTTGCGTCATGTTTTAATCTATTCCTTTTTTATATCAACACTGACATTAAATAACATTTTGCTTGAAATTTCAACTGTCCTAAAAAACCCGCGTTCCAAAAATGCTCGAAAATATTACATTTCGATGAATTTCTGTCTGTTGTCCGCTCGTAGAAGGTCGATTTCGACGAGGTAGGGGCAGGTGAAATCAAAGAACCGAAATGCGACGCCATCCATTGTATAATCACCATTTATTGTCTTGCGCTACAATTTTTTCATGATTTTAGGTAAGCTCTTCTCACATGCACGCATAGAAACGCGCTCGTATTTATGGAAATACTCTCGTCGCGGCGTAAGTCAAACCCGCGCGATTGCGTGCATCGAATAAATATGCGTACGAGTAACCGGATTTTCGATCGAACGGTTCGTTCCTGGGTCAAATACGTACACCCGCTCTCTGTACAAAGCTCCTGCGGTACTACCGTAAAAGAAGACAGAATGAAGTTATATCTTGGGGTAACACAGTTATACGTAACTACTTAATGAAGGGGGAATTGCACTTTCTCTGCATCCAGAACTCTTGAGTTGTCGTTTCGGAAAAAGGCAGTCCGACACCGTGGACACGATTTAACCCCGTTTCCGTCGAGGTTTCTGCTCGACGAGCTGAACGCGTGCTGAGTGCGCGCCGATTTGTTTTTTTTTACGTCGGCCCCGTGGTTCCGCATGGCCACGCGAGTTCCTAACCAATTTAATCCATCTTCTGTCGATCAAGCGGCGCAAATCGTCTTTAAGGACGCGCAGCAGCGATTTTTCACAGATTGCAAATGGCACAGCCATGTTCTCAGCCTGTCAATCAGCTCCGCGCAATCTGACCCCACGTCCGTGCACTCATCGACCTCTGGTTCTGAAAAGAAATGCCAAAATTCGGTCAAGCTTTCAGAGAGATCGAAAACAGCTATGATATCTGCGAACTAGGAGAATCGTTCGTTTCAAAATTTTTACAACTTATACATATAAATTTATGTTTTGATATGTATATGAACTGGAAGTATCCACAGGTGTTGTATGTTCGCAACAAAAGAATAAATTCATAAATTCGTGTCTTGCTTTATGAACTAGAAGAATTGTCTATTTCGTGTGTTTATTATTTTGGAATTTTCGTGTAAAAGGAGAATTCATTGTTATATGTAAAACTTAATACAGAGTGTTCAGCATCTATATGACAAAAATTTGAGGGGTGATTCTAGGGGTCAAAACAAGACAAAAATCAAGAATAGTAATTTGTTAATTGAGGCTTTGTTTAATAGTTATTAAATAGCCAGAAACATTTCTGGCCACACGTTATATTTTCGATAAAGAATTTTTTTCTCAAAACTGCGTAGGATTTCGGGGATATGTCTATTCATAAAAAATGATTGTAATTAACTCCCGCAACCAAAAATATTTTTTTTAGAACGATTTGAAATTTTTCACTTTCGACGAAAAATTTGTCCACCTTTCTGAATTTTTTTCTCGAAAATGCATAAGATTTCGATGGTATGTCTATTCACCAAAAATGATTGTAATTAACTCCTGCAGCTAAAAATAATTTTTTTAGAACGATTTGAAATATTTTTTTTTGGACGAAAAAAGGCACCTATCGATTTTTCTTAAAAATTCGTTTTTGATTTTTAATAAATTTGTTTGACGCGCTACGGAAAAGTTGTTTGGTACTTTTTTGTAGGTACTCGTGAGCTCTACCTCAACAAAAAATTTCATTGAAATATATTCACTATTGTAGGAGTTATGGTAGTTTGAAAATTGCCTTTTTTAATCCCTTCTGTAGTCAACTCAACACGAATCCGTCACCTTTTCACCAATCAGATTTCTCTTGGTTTCCCATTATTTACATCTAATACCGTGCAACAAATAATCAACGATTAAAATTAATTCCACAAGATAATATTGAAAGTATAAATCGTTCGTTATATGGTACATCCTCTCAGATTCCTCACCGGAGTAATTTGTTTCGGAAATTTACGATTAGAAAGAACAAAGACACGCTACTTCCCACAGAATATCCATGAGTTATTATTGATATCGAAAGTTGATGGAACACAAAGATATTCACTGTCCTGATGTGAATTGAATGAAACAGGATCTCGAAGGAGCGACGTGTCGGTCTGTCACAATTTTAATAATCACATCGCAGCCGTTTTCACGGCGCCACCGGTGTTAATTAGTCACGATCGAAGATAATCGCTCGTTAAGCGAGGAAGAAGATCACCTGCCAGGAGCATATATTTCACAATAGAGTATTAGAAGATAAAGCGAGAGAATAGATAGAGCGAAAGTGGCTACGAGATGTTATCCGATTCGATAACGTTAAACGGGAAACAGACGATGATGAAGAAATGAATAGAAGAAAGGTTCTGTAATTTGAGAGGAAAGCAATATGTCTCGTATCAAGTGGTTTTGATACGGATTTCTCTTACCGCGACCATCGCTTGGAATCCCATTCTGATCCCCTTTGGCTGTTGTTGGAAACGACATCATGCTGACCGTGCTTTTACGTTTGAACGGGCTAATTTTCGGATAACTCGCGTCATTAGTGACTTTCGACAGAGGGCTAACCGTATAATACGAATTCAAGTAACTCGTATACTTTCTAGTAGTGGTTGTACCATAGTTCTTACTAATATTATTGTCGTAAAGTTTAGTCTTGTACTTATTGGCGTATAAATAATTGGCAGTCGTATGTGTGGATTTAGTCGCTGTGGCTGTCGCGAATGGTGTGACGTGTTTATAAGGACTGCTCGTCGACGTCGACGAGAAGTGATTCGACAACGGCGAGAAATACTTAAATTTCGTTTGTTGCGTGCTGTGTGTCGTTGATTCCCACGGATACCTGTGTGACAATAGCATTTATAGTGTTATCAAACGAACAAGAACAAAAGATCGTCGAACTCGGCTTCTCCAGTCTATCGATTCAGAAAATATAGCCACGGATTGGTTTGGTACATGTTCCGACGAACGACAACCGTTTACTAAATATAACAAGTTTCTTCTTATATGCACGGTGTTTCAGAAATATAGACAGAAATTTAATTGGTCAAAGAATTCGCAGAGAAAATGGCTGAGTTAATTTTCAATAATTGCAAGACCATAAAATGATTCTCAAAACTTACAGGTCAAAAGTTGAGTTCTTCAAAAGCGATCAAGTTGGAAATTAAAATTTATCAAACCTGTTTTGTTGCTCATTTTTTGAATCCTATTAACCATTTAAGTTTGTATCTATAGCTTCGAAACATCTTACATATTTCTAAATATTTCCACAAAGTACTAAACGTTTCAGAATGTTTTACTCAAAATTTCCATGTTACACGACATTATTTTAAAATTAATTTGCTAATTGCATTTAGCACTCGATATGCTATGTTAAATCGAATTCCTATTCGTGAATATCTCTTTATTTTACACGATACTATGGAATCGGTGTTTAATACTCGATGAAATCGCCAGTTGTAACCAACGTTAATGGAGAAGTACAATGAAATTATTATATTGATTAAGTTTGTATATTGCACAGAGAAAATACACGATAATAGAAAAGTTTTAATTGTTACCTGTAATCCGTGTTGTTGTATTGAGCGAATAGAGGCCGATTGTGGGCTGTGGGATTATAAGTGCCATCTCGGCGCACGTAGGTTGGGATGTTTTGTGTGTAATCTGGTATAATATTTTCATGCTCGGCCACGCACTTTCCATTCAGGCAGTACTGGAACAATTAATAAAATTGTGGTCAGCACAAAAACTGTTCCGTAAACGGAAACACACTAACGCATTTTTACGCGCGTCGTTCAGAAGCATTAAGCAGGAGACACGTTTCCGAATAAACTATAATTGGATTCAAACTCAATATTCGAGGGCAATTAGAAAATTATGTTGCATTTATCTTGAACAATTATTGATACTTTGGTACCTTATTCTACCATCAAAAGCAAATTAAATATTAAAAATGCTGAAGTTAGGTGAGACACCCATCGATCTTGATTTAAAAGTTCTGTAAAAATGTCCACCTTAAAATTGGGGAAGCAATAATCGGATAATGGATATATTTTAGACCTCGATTGCAATAACTATCGTGATATATTAGTTTGCTCTCAGAAATTATCTAGAAATCCCATCGATAAAAGACAATTGATCGCTCGAGACATCTCCGTTTTATCTGCCTTTAAAGCAGAGAGATAAGACACGAATGTAAAAGTTGACCAAATTTTATTCGATCGTATTCCCCATTATTGTTTCTTTTATTAACTGTTAATCGTTTACCTGACCATCTCCGCATGGAGAGCCTTCGGCTGCTGGACGATAGGCCACGCAATATCCTGAACCAGCGTCGAAGCAAAACAACTGAGCGCAAACTCTGTCGTCTTTCTAAAATCCGACACACGGGTTTCAATGTTTTATTAGAAAAAAAGGATATCGAATCGATTGTGTTTTAGTAAAGCTTACGAAACATGCGCTCGTTCCACGATCCTTTCGACACTGTGCGTCCAACGAGAGCAATTTCCCGGGCAAAACTCTGGGAAGCGCTTCGTCCTCGTGAGGCGCGTTGTACAAACATGTTGCTGTGTCGCCACTGAAATTGAAAAATCAAAGGATTTTTGACTTGCCCTCTCCTTGTGAATCGATTTGCCCGAAATATAATGTATCAGATTCGTACTTTAAGAAATGATGAAACGACGACACGCTGCAGTGAGACCACTTGAAGCCTTTCTCAGTGTGTCGAAGGTCGCTCATAATGTAGCCATCCTCCCAGCGACATTTTTCGGCTCCGGGTCCTCCGAGATAGCTGGGTGGCGGTGAACCATCGTGGACTGCGCCAAGTCTATAATATTTCCATTTAAAAATAATATTATCCACGGTTCAAACATGCTTTCCGTGCAAGTAATTTTCGTTTTTACAAATACAAACTTTATCGTCAATTTTGAGTATAATTTTGGCTAGTAAGAACAATGGATTCAAATATTGCCTCAAAAAATTTATCGATACAGATTCCAATTCCTAAATTAATTTACGAACGAAACGTATATGGAAGTTAGTTTACGAATCGGGGAGAAATGGGTGATTTTGAGAAAGCATTTGGAACTTGATATTTTTAGATGAGTACAAATGATAAAAGCATGAAAGGAGAACTTACAAATGGCCGACTTCGTGGGCAGCGACGATAATTCCGCTAAATCCTCCGGTGTCCTCGATGATGGCGACCGAATTCACTTTTTCGAGACGCTTATTTACAACACACGCTCCACCCACGTACGCGAAACCTAGATGGATTCGTACGATCAGTCTCCAATATCTTAATCTTTATAGAAAATGTATATTTAATATTAATAGAAATGTTAATCTTGCCATTAAATTCGTTATTCGGTTTCGAGTAATAAGCTGTATTCTTAGCGAGTTTAATCAATACCAGAGCAGCAGAGTGTGCCAACGTGCTTCCAATTTTGAGGAAATAAAAATTCCATAAAATTAAGATGTATCATTAGTATTTGCTATTTTTTCAAATAAATTTCCATTTAAGTTTGATTTTTTGAATTTAGGACATCAAAAACGGTTCGTTCAAGACATATTGATTTCTACATATAGTTACAAAACTATAGGATAATTCTTTAGAACAATAAATAGAATTCATTTTATATATAATACTTTTTTACACTTCCAATAGTAATAGAAATTTCTCAAGGTATTTTCTTCGAAAGAAAAGAGTGGAAAATCATATTATTTCTCAAAAATGGATGACACGTATCCCTTTAAGTTACCGTTGATATTATTATTATTATTAAACACGAAATTTAAGCGGAAACCTAACGATAATAATAATATGCTTCACCTAAGTACTATTTCTGTTACTCAAAGCCAGACAAGAGTATCTGTTCAACAGGCAGCATGCATTCTGGGTGTTAATTTTACGTTGATTTTGTTAGCCGAGGCATTTGGAAATTGTTAATACGTCTACTGTGAAAATCGGTCCATAAATGTTTCTCTTTAACGATACCAACGCGAATTATATTGAATTTAGGGTATTAGCCTGTTACTCGATGCTCGTTTTAATTGTTTCGGATTCAAAGACTTACCGACCACGGTCCTTATTCGGTAACGCAGCCAAATAAACAAAGAAAGGCTCAAGTTATTCGGAATGGAACACAGAGAGCATAGAAACGACAAAGGGACGGTTTCTTTTTTCCCCCAGATATTCTTACAATTAATATCACGTCGTTAGGATCGAACGGATTGATCGGTCAGAGCTTTATTTTTTTAAAGAAAATCGTCGTGAATGATCGATTGTACAGATGCGCAGGGTTGTGTTTACGCGTCGTGAACACACACTAGGAAACCGTAGCCACTGTGCAAAAGGAAACGGGCAGAGAAGTTTTGAAAGGGGGAAATTTCGCGCCATTTTTGTACAGTGCTTGGGACAAAAGTAGCGGCAGACCATGGTCGTTATGACACGAATGCTCATAACTACTGAACAAATTAATCTAACGTAAAAGTTTTTCGACATTTTTATTCTGTAATGGAAGCCATAATACAGCGATATACAAAATAATAAGAAAAATATCTCAAGCATTTTTTGTCCTATACAACTAATGAAAAATAGAGTCTCAATTAGCATGTTTATATATGAATTCCATTATTTAAATTTATTTATATTAAGATAAAAAACTAGGTAAGAATATCTTACTTTACTATCACTTCGTAAATTGAAATTGTATTTGAAAATAATAATCAAACTTTAATCATTAATATTTAAAAAATTATTGAGCACAAGTGTGTAAAGTTTCTCTCCTTGTCAGATAGTAAATGAATATGTGAAAAATTGTTTTCTTCGTATCAATTGGTTTAGTTATAAGCGTTTGTATCGTAACGATCATATTGTGTAGATAGTCTTGTCCATCGCTATAAATTGGCCACTAATCGCCATCGTTCTTGATCGTACGTTCGGAGTGAGATTCAGGTAAAAAAAAAAAGAGACAGAGGAGAAACTTGTATCCCAAGACTAAGAGAGGTGACATTCAGAGACTAGAAAACGCGCGTGGCAAGCCGTATAGAATCGTTCACATTCAGCTGAAGGAAGCTCCAATCGCTGTGTTCATTCAACCATTCGTGGTGACCATAAATAAATTTCAAACGCAGAGTATTCGTTCAAGCTATCAGAGTGAAAAAATAAAGTATAAGTAGAGACAAAAGCAACGAAGACGCGTATGTAACTGTACGAGATACAATTTGTTTGCAGATTCCGTTGAAACGTTTCGATCGTGCAGTGCTCGTCACAATGAATAAATAAGTGTTCGTAAACGTGGGTTTGAAAACCAATCGTTGTTAATGCATGCTGATAAACGAGGACGAAGGAAGTTTATTTAAATCTGTGTAAGCTTTGTTATTCATTCAGTATGAGTAACAAGAGCAGCTTTATTTTGCGAGATGTTGGTTTTTGGGATCCACGTTCACCGATATTTCTTTCATTATTTTGAGGAGCGTTACGCGCCTGCATTATACCCGTGATTTTAAGGACATCCTATATTTTACACCGTTGTAGATGATAGAGCGTAGGCTGTGTTATTTCGACGAAATGATCTTGACGTTTCGCGAACAATATCAGAACATGTTCAAGCTTTTTACGAAGCTGCACTCGAGGTAGAAATACATTGGCTGTTTAAGATAGTTGGGAGACTATTCACATCACTTCGGTTGAAAAACAGAGGAGAAAACCAAGTCAATGAATCAGTTTGTTATTTTCAGAGTAACTTCGAACAGATAAAATACAATTGAAATACAAGGTAATTAATAAAGAATAGGTTATCAGATTTTTGTACTCGATTACTTGAAACTATCGTTACGAAAACGACGTCTAAGTTAATTTAGAAAACAAATTCACAGAATAAACTTGCCGATTAGTAAGTAAAAAATTTTTGAGTGTCCAATTCCTTTTGAAGTTAGAAGTCGTGTGCATGCAGTTATCCCTGACCCCTTAAACAGGATTTAAAACGTTTTGAACCTTTATAGGACAATGTTTCCTGCCTCGAGCGTATTCTGACGGAACGACGGAGCACTTTTTCAAAAGGACACAGCTTACCCATGGACAGAACGTTAAAAACTGCAAGATCCTGGGTCCACGAGGACCTCGAGGATCGCTGTCGCGCAAAGTGTATAATATCTTAGGTCCGTTTCGCGGTGTTGCAGCGAAAGAGATTTGAGAAAAAAAAAACCTTCACAGAGCAGTGCACAGTAGGAGTTTGAAAACAACCTCGCTCGTAAATTTCGTGTTCTGTTTCATTTTTAAACCCGGGAAACGTACCTGCGGTTCCTCTATTGCACACGTCATTCGCGTATTGCCTCCTGCACATATCTAATCTGCAATGCAACAACAAAAGTTCCACTTTATCATGTAGATTCACAGCCTGCTTGGTTCGGACCACGTCACGGGACAATCGACGCTCGTCTAATGCACAATGTCCTTCCGTATCACGTGGAAGCAAAATTTAATGTACAATTGGGTCTCATTTTGGTTCCCCGAGATCCGGTTCTGTACAATTCTGACAAGGTAGAGCGTTAATGGTATACATTTTCAAAGATTAGCGTCGAAGGGATCACGGCGATGCGACTGGCTGGAAAATAAGGTTGCGTTCCGGGTATTCTTTCGCGAAGACGGCTATTCTTTGTAATATTTACGTAGATTAAATTACAAATCTATTCCAGCAACTTTTAAAACTGTTTCAATGCTTGCAAAACTACTGTCGGTTAGAGTTTATTCGACGATTGCAACAGTTTTCCACTCTTTCTGCTATATTTTGGAACTGCCTTTATCTTTGCAAATTTAATTTCTCTCAGATAATTTTGTAGGAAACTTCAGACAATCCTCAGAAATTGTTTCGAGGTAAAGTTTAAAAAAATCAATTTTCAATTTTTATTTTAGATAAGTAAATCTGGATAGGTACTACGAGTATTAGATTAAGTTGTAGGCAATTGTCTGAAAGCAAAATGTTGAACTTGACAGTGAATCAGTTTGCTGAAAAATATGTTATCTGGACGGTTGATGAGTAGAGAATGAGTAGAGTAGTATTACTATCGAAACAGTTTTACAATTTCGCTGTGTGATTTATTAGACTCGAATAAATTATATTCTATATTACTATCGAACCACAGATACAAACAAATAACCGTCTTAAAAAAGAATAACCAAATGATACCTCACTTTTCAACCTATGGTTGTCGTGAATCCTTAACGCGTGTTTCGTTCGATAAGAAGCAAATCCCTTGAAGCGATATCAAACACCGTGTGTTCTGGTTGGCTCAACCCCGTAAACGCGGTTTGCACGGAAAATGATAGCGTGGAATTACGTTAAAGCAGACCACAGTACGAGCAGCGCGCGTCTAAATTGCCAATCTGCGAGAAAAATGTTGTGTTGAAGAGTTTCTGTCGATTCGATCGTTGGAGAGGAAACTATATGTATATGTACATTGGATGTTGATCGAACATTCATGATTCGTTGGTCAGTTCTAGCGATGTTCGAACCTCAACTTAGAAACAGTTCGAAGCTTTTAAAACCTCGAAGATTCGAATCGATTCGAGTTTCCCGCCATTTGTATAAATTCGAACCGAGTCGAAATGCTTCGAATCTCATCGCTGTGGCTTTTTTTTCATCCTTCAAGGCATGTGTATATACAGTTTGCTGTTACGTGACTTGTTTCAGAATATTTTAGTCGGATCTTGAGGCGATATGTACACGTTCGATAAAACGATATCGATTTGGGATGCCTACGGACTCTAGGTTTTTCATTTCCGCAATTTATGCGAATTGGTCGTCCTCGATCGTCGCGGCCGCGTGTTATTAATTGTATATTAGTATACCATTACCTTTCTAATTTATTTCAACTCTCGTACTAAGAGTAAAAGGTTGAATATGAGTGGTTTACGCAACAAGCCTATTTGTCTATTAGAGACAAATGATTCCTCGATTACAAGTCAAGTGTTTAACACCATATTTACAAAGGTAGTGAACCGAAAGTATCAAAAGAGTATCCTTTCTCGTTAATCTGGACGAATTGCGTACTTCAAATTTAGTTATTCTTTGAAACGTTTTATCTCGTTATATTAGATTACGTAGAGTGGTTTGGAATTATAAGTACAAATTAAATCGATCAGCAAAGTTGACAAAGAGGAATGGAAAGTCTTACATAAATTTTATTCCTAAGTTTCGATTCACTTTCTTGCGTAGAATCGATCATCCAACTTGAAATTTTGTAACTTGAAGTTTTGTTAAAATGCAATCAATATACGAAACAAAGACTCTAACAGACGTTCTAATTTCTTTTTCACGAACTTTGCTAGTTAGTAAGGTACTTAGAATTCTGAATCGATCTGAGAAAGGACGTCTCTTTTGACCCGTTCACCTTCTATAGACGATTCCCAAACCAATAGAAATATGCCGTCACTGCACCGTCAACACCAACACTACGTTAAGGCTATTGTAAATACTGTACAACGTCAACAATAAATACAACCATGTAAGAAGGAAAAATATAATAAGTATAAATTGAAAAAGAAAGCGTGATCGCTATGTAATAAACCATACCGGCAGTTCCCTTAGTGCAGCGGCCGCCTTTCCTACGACGGCACATATCATACCTGTTTTGCGAAATAAAAATCAAACAGTATGAAATCACCAGACTGCTGTGGACTGTATAACATAATGTAGAGGACCATAGAGCGTATTCGTTTTCGGTACTTTTACATTTCGAACGAAATCCGCGTGTCAATTTTTACGCGCGATTAGCACCTTTCTCCTTGCCCTTAAGTTCGTTTATTTTTTAATCAGTTCGCTCGATAAACTATATCAATCGATACGCGAAGAAGATAAAGTTAAGAAACCTTGGTACTTTCGCGTTACGCGATCATTGTTTCCAGTTTGAGTTCAACGGAATGGACACTCTTACTTTGTGACGGCGACAGCTATATCGTAGACCGGAAGTCTTCTCTCCCGGAAGAGGTATTTGCCCATGTCGGTCAACGCAGCCGCCGAATCAATCGCGTCTCGTCCCACGCGATTCCTTTCCAAATACGGCGTGGCGTCCCTTCCCTGAAAGAAGTTACGTAAAATGACAATTTATACCGAATTTAGCGCTTCTGTGCACACGGTGCATGAATTAGGTCGCTGTTTACCCGCGAGATAATTATTCCTGCGATACTGATACGAATTTTTGGTCCTTTCAACAGCTTGTACCTTAAATCTACCCCGTTCCAGAAAGACACAAAGTACCTTTTGATCTGTACATTATCGCCTCCGTGCAATCTGAAATAGAATCGAAAAATAACAGTTATGGAATCGATATACAGCTATGGACAAAATTAAGTGAACAGGTAGGGGAAATAGGTATAACTATTATCCAAATAAATTTTATATATTATACATATAATATTATGAAGACTGTATTGGTCGTATAAATAGAACCATTTTTATATGTTCTATATTGCATTAGTTTCTACACATCATTGTAGTAACAATGTTAGTATTAACAAATTTATAAGTATTGATATCTATTCTAATTTTGTAATTCCACTAATGTTGACGTCGCCGGTCACCGGTGACCCCCATGGCATTAAACGTATTGAAAGACTACTTTTTCCTTTTTCAAACTATAACAGCATAATGCTCCATATGGACGTTCATTTGTAAAATTATAAAAAAAAATCCAATCTTCAAAGTTTTTCGTAGCAATGTATTAAATATAAATATCAAAAATATTTGGCTAGCTGAATGTTTCGTGGAAAAACGAAGGTAATTGAACTGACCTGTATCCGTCGTAATCGACGATGCATAGGATTTCCGGATAAATTACGTACGGCGCTTCTCTCTTTGATCTATCGCCAACCGAGCGTTTCGATCTGTACCTCTTGGCCAAGTGGTCGGGTTCCATCAGCGCTGAAATCAATATTTAATTACGAGAAATCGATCTCCGGGGGATTTCATCCTCTGTGTGGTAATAGGCAAAGATCAACCGATGCTTACTGAAATCACTGTACTCGTCGTCGTTGGGTCGGGTCGCTTTCTTGAAAACCACGTGATGATTGGTGTGTTTCAATTTCCCTTTACTTTTCGTTACGTTCGGTAGTAATTGGGCCCCGTGAAGAGCCGGGGTCTTGCTCACTATTTCGTGCAACACTCGATCCGGCAGTGGTCGAATCACTAATTCCGAGCCGATATTGCCATCCTATCGAAACAGGTTTTCTTAATATTTTACAAAAAAAATTTGTCGCTTTCAGGAGTTTATAGGAAAGGAATAATTGTCCTATTCTTGAATATTTTTAATAATTCTGTTCACGTTCCTTTAGAAAAATGCTACCAATTTTATATAGAACGTACCTAATAAATAATATATAAATTTCTGCCATTTTGTGAGTAACTTTTACAAACAAAATTTGTCGCCTTTAGGAGTTTATAGGAATAATCATTTGTCCTATTTTTAATAAATAATATATAAACCTTTGCTATTTTTTGAGCAACTTAAATATTCCTTTCCTAGAAAATCCTCTCTCGATATAAATTTTCCGCCTGACGGCGAAAGCTTCCGGATGGAGCGTAATTACAAGCAACGTGACCGATTTTATCTGACATATCTCGTCTATGGAAGTAGACGATACACGTTTCGTGTTCCCCAAGGAAGTGGTCGAAGTCGGTTGAATTGCTCGATCGTTGATATTTCTGATCCGAGCACGATCAAGTTGTTCGATCTGCTGTTTGAGAGGCGCATTGGTCAGATCGAAGGGGGGGAGAGAGTGAAAGCGAAAGGTCAGGGCACGCGGGGTCGCATAGAACAACGCTTTAACGCCATTATGTAACCAACTGACGTTATTTGTTGTCTTTGGCATTAATGTAATGATCTTACCAGTTTTGGAAAGTGTACGACGTATCGGGAATTGCACGCGAGCTCGTTCTTTATTAATCGAATTCTACATGCGTCTCAGAAAAGGTGTATCTTTCAGCTTTTAGCAGAAATATGATAAACTTGTTACTAGATTTCGGATGTTTATTCATTTATGGGAAATTTTAATTTTCAAAAAAGTACAGAATGCATTTAATATGCAAAAATATAAGAAATACTTTAAGTAAGAATTATTATACTTAGAGGTTGAGGCAGCCCTCCACAAAGCTCCCATTTCATTAATTCTATCAATAAAAATACGAATTTTAAATTTGAACAAAAGAAACCGAAATTTGTTTTTGTTTATATAAAAAAGGTATCTCAAAACTGATAAATCATTTGATTAGAAAGTGTGGCTTCTGAAAAATACGCCACATCTTTCTTGGTTTGTCATTAATAAGAGACGAAAATTACGTAACTTTTAAATTATGTTATTTTGTATAAACGTGAAAAAACTTTCAGATATCACATAACAGTAAATATATGTGAGAAAATGTTTAAAATAATCGATGGACTACTTATTTCTATTTAAGGCCCGTGCGCGTACGTCTGTTTTCTCCGAAGTAAAATGGCCCCCTAATTGGCGAACTAACGTTCGCCGTATCAGCTTAATGGTTTGTTCCAACTACTTTCGGCTAGTAAATAAAGATAAATAGTTTAGATAAACGTTTAACATTGGGTAAATACTTATCTAAAATGTAAATTGTTATCAGATTCTTTCGATCTTTAACTTGCCAACTTTCATGCAAATGTCCTTTCACTTTTAACTTAGAACTTCTGTCAACGGATTTTTGATCGGTTTTATGGCTCGCGGTTAATACCGCCTTATGGAAATACTTCTGTTCGCGATTCTTTATGACTTCATAAGAGAACGAACTTCCTAAGTGAAATTGTGTCTCGGTTGGTTGGGCGTGCAATCATCGAGAAACAGCTTCTTCTCGAAATTGCCGACCGTTTAGGATGGCGGAAACCGATATGGGAGATTTTACTGCCGTTTCTTTTATCCTTCGACGCGCAGTATCTTCGCAATGCACTTGGTACGAAACGCAGACGTAACATCGACTGCGAGCTTAGAATGGAAATGTCAAAACGTTCACGATGCTGTTTCGACGATTTCCCTTCGTATTTAACAGGTTCCTTCGCGATAAACATCGTGTTCGAATGTAAACATACTCTTACTCAATTGATTCTAATAAAATTTAAAGAATTAGCGAACGAAAGCGTCACGTTACAAATATCAATTTAAAGTTAATTTTACTCAATTTCACAGGCTATTTTAAAATAAATATTTTCTGATCATAAACCTTTTATCCACTAAAATACATGTTTTCAAACATATCTATTTAATCAGTTTACACGATAAAATTATCACAGTATTAAATATATTCTTTGGTATTTTGTACTTTTCAGTATACAAATAATTTTTATTGCCCTTTTAAAATATCTTATTATCTCTTATTTCAAATTAGTTAAATAAGTTAATTCAAATTTTCTTTTCAATTTCTTTTAATTTTAAATTTTTCTGTAAATAATACTCAATTTTGAAAGAATCATAATTTGTCGTAAATCCATAGTTTTATACTGTTACTGTCTACTCGCGATCCACGTGGTATTGAAAGTATTAATTTTATTTTCCAACGAAATTGCCATATTTCAGGTAGCATGAACAGGCACCTAATGGCGGTCGTCGATGGTGATTGTTCGCGTTATTGCGATAATTATAACGGAACCTAACTAAGTCGCGATGGTTGACGAAAGACAGAAAGAGTCGCGATAATGGGGAGGGGAAGGGGATGTCGAAAGAAAGAATGGCCTCTTACAACTAGCACTTTCCCATTCGCGTCCCGGCGCAGCAGAATGGACGCCATGTTCGTCGTGTCTTGATAGATGTCACCGATATCTATGTCAGCCTGAAAGAGGAAGAACAATTACAAAGAAGTTGTACGTCGTTGGCCATACGCGGCAGAAGCAAACGGATTTTATGCCATTTCGACCGTATAAAGGAATAATGCATCCCTCGGACCATAATCGTAAAAATCCACTTGCCGCGAAATACCACGTTTTTACCAACGCCAGGCTTGTTTAACGTAATAGGCGATTGATAGAAAAACAATGAGATTACGATTGATTGCACGAAATATGTCTCGACGTAGAACTGTTTTGTTCGCGACAAATTTGATTCGCTTGTTCCATGTTTTTTGATTATTCCTAAGTAATTTGGGAACAAACATGTTTGCAGATTTAAATGAATGGTACCTTCGATTCTATCTGCAATTATGATTTCTATAGTATTAACGTAAGAAACAATTAATTTTGATTATTATGGACTTAGTAACATGTAACGACAAAAATAAGTAAAATTTTAATAATAATTTAAAGTCGATGTGTTTTCTTTCTTCCGGAAAAATTCGATTCTTGACGGTTACATTATTTTCCACAATGGCTCCTCAATTTTATTTCGAATGATTTAATTTTTTCTAGACCATGCTAGGTACATACTTTCGCCCTATGTCTTTAAAAATAACTATATTTTCAATTTTTTTAACCATTACCATTTGGTTGAATTTGTAACTTGCATTGGAATTGTTAACGATCCCAAATGCAAATGTAATAAAATAAATATAATTATATTTCGCACGTATCATTAGAGACCTGTATACTATAATCTTCGAGGCTCGATTAGATCGAATAAATCTTAACAAATTTGCAAACCTCTGAAATAAATAATTCGACAGGTATGAAATTATGGATGACACGTTTAAGATGTCAACGTGTTTACATGGTGAAACGTTGCTGAAAACTTACGTCTGTTACCCTCTCGTAATGGAGGCCGTCAGGTTGCGACGCGTTCTTCATGACAGTCCACATTGGCAGACGGTTCGCTGTCAACAACCCCTCCGTAGGTTTCAGCGATAAACTGATGTCCTTCCCGAAGGCCTTCAGGTGTATCTCCGGCTTCTCCGTACCCCTCTTGTGCACCGAATGCAACACAGGCACAATCTCGTACGTTGGTACTGTAAATTAAATGTAGTCTGTCTTCGGTGATTTTTTAGCCGTCGTTTTACGTCATTAATAAAGACGAACGCGAGCGGAGCACTCGACAACCTTGCTAGCTCGATGTTTCGTGAGAAAAAGTGAATATCACGAAGAAAAAGAACGATGTCCTTATCGGGGCGCATCGGGTTAAAAAAGAAATAGAAAAGAATTTGGAAAATAATATCACATACAGCGAAAAGAAAACTGTCAGTTCGCGTTCGAAAACCAAGCTATTTTAATAAAATTTTACGACTCGAAATTAGATAACACGTATCCTGACGATCCTAATTCTGACGACGTGGAAATTAGTAAAATAGTAGAGAGACACTTTAAAAGATAATATAGAATAAAAAAATCTTAATTGTATCGGAGGAATGCAAAGATCGACGCTATCTTTTTTATTTTCATTTCGTGACCAACGAAGTAAACATTTCTCGAAATTTCGCGCCAACACGAGGATCGTTTAATGGAATGCGTGCCACTCCCGCTTTTAATTTCATATTAATACGTGTGAAACGTTGCTTGGCGTATACAAAAAACGATAAGTTGACACGTTGACTGACAGCTTCGTTCGCGACTGAAAAGTACAATAGTCGAAAATCCAATTGATTTCTCCGGTGCTAGGAACACGTGCAAGGCCACCTGCGTCGCAGGTGAACGCGAATCAAGTTTAAATCGTAAGAATGGACAGCCGTCTACCGCGTAGAATTAACTTTTTTTTCAGTGTGATTACCAGACTCGTGTCCCGTGTGAAACACCGATAACATTTCTTCCTTTGTCAGGTGTTCGTGGATCTGAAACAAACAAAAAATTCACTGTTAGCTCTCACACTTCGCGGTGAATGGCATTTTGATCGAGATTTTCCGTACAGATAGAAAAGTTTCACGCTTATATGACGGAAACATAATACACGGGGACTCGAACAATGTTTAGAATTTTCTTCAGTTTTTTTGGATCGAAGGAAATTCTGTCGGGAGCAGAATTAAGGGGACAGGTAAAGGTAAATTCAACCAAAGTAGCACCCCGTGCAAGACACATCGAAAAATCGTTTTTCTTTCCCTATAAGAGATGATTGGTTGGATTAATAAAGCACGATCGAGATCACGCCGCGACGGAATCGGTTGTATTTTATTACAGGTTGCTTTGTTACCGCGAAGTGCATGGCTAATTGGCAATGATTGCGAGGACAATGATCAACAGTTGTCGAAGCCGCGTACGCGTGTGTTCCGAGTCGCATGGTTCGGTGTTGCACGGTCTTTGCAATCGATACATGTGTATTTAAAGTTTTCCAATCGCGGCCCAAGGTCTGCTTCTACCATTTAAGAGCACCCGGCCACGTACCGTGTCACAGAAATCGAGTTGCAATTAACTATCACGCTGCCTTAGACTCCTAAGGTCGGTCACTTTCACTCATTACGTTAGGAAATTCGATTCGTGTCTACTGGTACTGTTTCCCTATCGTCCTATTTTTCCTCTTTGTTGCCTTGAACATTCGTGAAATTCTCTATCGATGTTTCCTATTCCTTCAGATGGTTCGATGGCCCCAGCGCGGGGCATTCCTAATACGCGCCATTTAATTTGTCGCGGCGCGAATTTGCATGACTTCTTGCGTCAACTGTTTTCAACCTCATTCGGCCAGAAAATCGAGCAACGCGACACGAAGCAGTTAAAGAACCGGATTTACTTAAAAATCCATATTACCGTGTCGATCTGCTAATTGTATGCGTACTACGAGCACGGTTTCTCTGTTGAATGGCCGAGCACAGTCGTCGTGGCAGCTTGCATTCGCCGCGTCTGATTACCAGATAAACACGCGCCCCGTTCGCTTGACTTTCGATCTTTCTTATTATTGCAAAAGGTGTCTTTGAAAGGCACGATCCGAGCAAATTTAACGACCGTCATAAGTCGATGCGATATTCTGGTTCCGCGATTCCTGTTGCAACGTAATAGGAAATATTCGCGTTGCAGATATCCTATCTTTGGTTTATTCGTAGCCCTGCGCTGTGTAGTCGTTTCGTTAGCCACCAACTTTCTAGTTTTCCCTATTTGCTATTTGCACCTACAGCAAATCGAACTTAAGACGATCGAGCACACGCTAAACGCAACTGACGAGGACCTTAATTGTCCAACTTTGATTTTAACGAGTCTTTGCAATTAATGTTATGAAATATACCTAGATATCATGAGTGTAGAGAGTAAATGTCGAATGGCGAGGTGTGCTGGTAGATCCAAGGTTCTGGGATCGATTCCTGTTCAAATGGTATTACACTTCTTTATATTGTAAAAGTTTATCGCGTTCACAGTGTATATGATGCTGATATATGATGAAACAGAATTTTGATACGGGGAGTCAACGTTGTTGAAGAAACAGGAGAGAGCTTCTTTGCAACGTTGCAAGAATACACACGCACGTGTAATTATTTGCACTCTACTTCCTAATGAAGCTGCTTACGCAAACCAGTCGTCAATTGGCCGCTCTGATTACACCCGAAGTCGGGCTGGTTGGTTGCTAATGAAAAGCGTGCGCCATCGATTACAATGTTCGACGTATCATTAATCGCGATACTGTCTTTTTTCCCACGTTGCATGCGTGGCGATTAATACGTTGCTCGCATGCGAACACATTTGCCTATGTTTAACCGCGCGCATGCAAATTGTGTTCGCTGAAACCACACGTTTCGAAGGAATTCTAATGGAACGGTGCCACGAGTTTAATGTTGTAAATACGGAAGAAGCATAAACGGTGATACATTTAATCGTTTATGGGTTGCCATACATTATTCTATTGCTCCATCTAAGACTAGCTGGTAAAAATACGTACGGTCTTATATCGATTACGATCTATCATAATAGACTTTAAGATCGATGTTTCGATATAAAATAGAATACAAAATTTGTAAGCTCATAATCCTTGACAAAGTAAGATATTATTTTTGTAACGTAATTAATTATTTTTCGAATTTAAAAATTACTTTTGTGAAAATTTAAAAAGAAAGTGAGGTGTCTATGATTTTGTCAGAGACATTGGAACGGTCATCGCGTAATTCCGTTTCTGACACTGAGACACGAATGTCAATCGCTTATTGACCACTGGGCCATAGCAATTATCTGTGAAATGATACCATGCGTTCGAATGGTGTCTAAAACGTCGCGTGCACGATCACAGAGTTCAATGTGCAATTTATTCCTTTCTCTTCCCACGTTACTTTCCTGGTGACGCTTAGTGTGGCCACTACGCTATTGTACACACGTTAAACTAGCTGCACTATTCCTTTTGAGTACTCGAATTATTTAACCACGTTCGTTGATAGATTCAGGGACCTAAAATGACACGTTACTTTAAAAATTTGTGCAAGAAAGAACACAAAACGTATGCAAAATCGATTAAACGAAATGGAAGCATCAAGGTGGATCGACAAAATATTTAAAAATTAATATAAAGTAATAAAGATCTTAAAATCTTACGTGTATCGCTTAATTTTAACTTTCTTCTCGGATTCTAATACTTATGACACTGACCGTAATACATCGAGAACAGCATGAATGTGTTTGTTTGCAATCTAGACTAATAACTAACGATTATCCTTTATTATATTACCAACTGATGACTAATTTAATCATGCAAATGACAAATAACACGGTATTCATCTGACGCATAACTACTGGTCAAAGAATTCTAACCACGACTAATTATCTTTAATTATTAGTTATCGTTGCAGAAGTAAGTGAAGTTATTATCATCGATCACTCGTCTGATTATGCTTCGCCCGGCTCCGCCCTTGACCTAAGCGTTCGTGATTTTTACGGGAATCGACGCGCGTTAATTTGATTGCTCGTTTTATGGGCATCCTTTGCACACATAACGGACACTTCTCGTTCGTTAATAAAACAAGTAACGTTACCAACGGAAGCCTGTGTTTACGTACCGTGAACGTACTTCGTAACAAGCGGTGGATCGACAATTAGAGCCGTCTTATTCCGCGACCGCCTTGTCATTTCGAGTCAACGGCACGAACAGACACAGCGTTACGCGTGTTCCTTTGTTTCAAGGAAGCACTTGCTCGGTACAACCATTGTCCTTGATGCTACCGATGGTACTTGACATGATCTTACCTTGTGGCATCGTACGACAGGTAGAACGGCCATGCACAGAAGGACAAGGGCACGAATCATTTTGCGTAAAAATATTCCTGATGGGCTGCGTCACATCGCTGTAACAGAAAACCAAACATCTTTATGAATGTAACAGTCATCGACGAATTGGCATTAAAAGAAATCGTTGTTCTTTTTTTATTACGTACGAATAAGAAATCTTCAAAAGAAATCGAGATAAAACACCTTTGTATATAAAGAAATTTATGAAACGACGCTCACGCTATAAATATATTATTTATGAATTACATAGCGGGACGCAAAAAGCGAACTTCGTTAGCATGCAAATTGCTGGATAATCGGTGCAAAAAGATTCATTTGTCGATCGAAACCGAGCCAAAGAATAAAGTTTTTACTATTAGTTTTATATATAGTTTTATATATAAAGTTTTATATATTTTTATCGAAAGCTTGGATCTTGGATCATTACAAGAACGAATGTTTCTTGCGTTAGTTATAAAATAAGACAAAAATTGCATATCAACACAACGTTACAATTGTAACGTAAACAGGTACTTGGAATACAAAAACAAATGCAAAATAATTTTCTAATTGTTCCTAAAATATTCGAAACTTCTCCTTCGAAGAAACCCTGGTTTCTACTATTAGCAATTTATAATTTTACAAGTATTACAGCAACGTATTACTATAAACGATATTACAGCACGTTGTAAGTTCAAAGTGTTTGTAACCAACGACCATAAAATTTTATTTGCGATGAGCAACGAACTTATCGTCGTAACAATAGTAGTATTAAATTCATTTGCGAGACGAGACGTCAACGATCAAAACAAATAAATACGTAGCGTTAATAGAGTTGCAAAACTTTGCGCAAAGTGGTTGTTAGAGTATTGCGTCGGCAAGGTCTTCGGCAATAATTTGTTCGCTGGATGGAAACTGATACCTCTTCGTGGAAAAGAAATTACCGGAGTCGTAAGCGTCGATGAAGAAATCCGCGCGGTTACGTCAGATTTCGCCGCGCCTGGCGCGCAATGCGAAAATGAGCAAAAAAATAAACAAAAAAAACCATCGAAGCTAACCTGCACGATGGGGTTCACGCATGCCTGAGATTAAACCTCGCGGGGACGAAGCGAAGAGACGTTGAACACGGACAGACGGCCAGAACACACGACGATCCCGGAAGGAAAGTTAAATTGCATCGAATTAACGCCGACGTCGCGTGTCAAAACGGAAACTTTCAACCATGGCATCGTAATGATCGCGAAATTCGTAACGAAGCTCGAAAATGCCAACGAGACGTGTCCAGTCGCGACTGTCAATGTCAAAACGTGACAAAACGACAATCTTCGCGGCGTATTGGAGCTTTGATCGCGCGTGCGATTAGATCAGGTCTGATCTAAGAACACCATGAGTCGGTGCTGGAAAGCTCATTTATTCTATAAACGTATGTTAGTAACGTGGGAAAACCTTTCGATCAATTTGTATATTAGAAATGACAATTTCTGGCAGAAAATGTCAACGTAAATAGATGAAAAAAGTTCCTATAAATTTATGTCCAAAAATGCTTTATAGGAATGATATGAGTGTTCAAGGATTTACAGGCAAAATTCGTCTTACAATTTCATGGTGATACCATATTCGCCAGCAGAGGGCTACGCTTTCTCACAAGTGCTCGATTGAATGTCTCACACAAGTCGCAACAATTCGTTGATCAGAATCATATACGTGTTATAAATTCTCAATAATATTATTGTTTAAACAAAGGGCTCTTTGTTTAAATTTTCAAAGAATTGTTTTTTTCAAATGTTTGACCAGTGGAATATATTTTTTTACAGACCAAGTTATTTTTTATGGAAGTGAAAATTCCGTCACCGGGAGAAATCCATGGGAACTGGCAAAAGTAAAGCGGCCATTGTTCCGATAGGAAGTAAGGTTTCTATGCAGGGTAATGCGTTCGACCTTGACGGGACAAAGCTGTTTTTCACACCATATCCGCGGTAGCGTGTGACTGAAATTCACAGTTCTGTTCAAACGTTTCAGATCACATTCAGAAACCTCTCGATAGAATAATAGTGTTAGGTCACCCTATAACTTCGTGTCGCTCGATATTCTGAAATTGATGAGGAAAAAATTTGTCAGTTCGGGGGATTTCAAAACATGGATCTTTTGACAGTGTTTATGTATTTAATTCTTCCTTAGAATGTAAATTTTCCAGTTTAATCCATTACCTAGATGGAGGAAGTATTTTACAAAATTAGCTTGCGGACTATTCTAAATTATTATATTTAATTTTAGCACTTCGTTGTATTGATTTTAATTTTGTCGATCGATGTCTAGCTTTCTATGTAGATGGATAACATACATATAATTAAAATCTAACTTTAGTCGTCTTATGTAACGTAACGACAATGTTAAGGTCTAATGCATTAGCTTGACAGTCAAACTAATCTTGTTTCTAATAATAATCGCTGTACAAGGATCTTTATCATATGCATATTAAATATTTTGATATCACGAAATGAGAGTAAATATATTTTATGTTTTTCAACATGTTTTGCAACCCCAACAAATTTTAATGATTCTAAGACGCACCTCTTTTGACAGTTTAATTGTGCTCTTGAACCTTTTTTAATAGTCCTTAAAATAACCTTCTTACCAGTTAAATCAATGTTTAAACAGGATGGAAACTTGCACAAATCGGTCTGCAAGAAACATCAGAATCTTTCGAGATCTTTTTAATTTCAATTCCAAATGCAAAACGTGAATTACATCACCAGTTAATAGAATCGCGTGATATGCGGTGATAGAGCCAGCCGACGAGCTTCGATGGCTATAAAAGCAACAATAGAAAGGCGCCTGCATAATACAACATCATATAATAATCTTCAACAACGACGGAACGAATGGCTTTCGATCCAGGCTGCTCAGAATTCGCAGAAAAATTTTAATTGCGGCAATCAAATTAACAGTCTCAAAGCGTAAATCCCTTTCTTGTAGAAGAGAAAATGAATTACAGCATTCAAAGATACGGGAGGTCGATATAAAAAATAGATACAGTCGAATCTTTTTATTCCGAACCATTCTAAACCAACTTCTGTGACATTTTCTTTATCCACAATCGTGGTAATTATTTTCGTTCAATCCAGCCAGCGATCACGGTGACGTAACACGATCCATCGTCGTGCACCATTTCTCTTATTATTTTTCGATCCGGCGCACGAAACGCACGCGGTCGTCGTCTTTGTCCAACGGTAATTACATTAATTACACGTTGGAAATGTCTGCTGGCAGTCGGCTGAAGGGGTCAAAGATGAACAGAAGTAAAGGGCAACGAGTTTTCGCCGTGTCGCGTCGCCAAGAAGAGAAACAGAGGAGACAGGACGATTGCGAAACGGTCGATGGTACGCCTCCCCCGATCTCTCGTACACGCGAGATTGCTTTCGAGCAAGCTTCATCTCGGGTGCCAGCAAACGGAATAAAGATTGTTACACTACGTATAAAGCGGCGGTTCACTTTCTTTTCGGTTTAAACATGCCTGAATAGCAGGAAGTAGTGGAAAGTTGTTGCGTCGTCGCCGAGCGAAACTTTAAACCGATTCCGAGACGCTGTCGGGTCGCCGTCGCTGTTTAAGTATTTGCAAAAAATATCTTGGTGAAATTATAGCGGGGAGAGAACACGTGAGCGTATATACGCGCCCGAGATATTCCTAGCACTTTTACCAACCGCGAAGCGTGCAAGTTTTACGCGCGAAATTAACCCATTAGCTCTACAAATTAATTTAAGGGCTCTGGTGTACATTTATGAACAGCCACGTAACGTTTCAAGCACAAAAATAATCTCCGTTCGCGTTTACACGTTATATTTTCGTCGATTCTTACGCAACTGCTTGATCTCCTTTCTAAAAGAAGATGGTGGTTTTGGACCAACATGGTTGACAGTGCTTTTCTTGATTTCTTCGAACGATTAAGGAAAAAATAATAGTTCTAAGGCGGAACTTCTTTCTTCTTCTCAACTGGATGAAAGATGGCGATATTTTGATGGTTCCAAGATGGTGGTTTTGGACCAACATGGTTGACAGTGCTTTTCTTGATTTCTTCGAACGATTAAGGAAAAAATAATAGTTCTAAGGCAGAACTTCTTTCTTCTTCTCGACTGGATGAAAGATGGCGATATTTTGATGGTTCCAAGATGGTGGTTTTGGACCAACATGGTTGACAGTGCTTTTCTTGATTTCTTCGAACGATTAGGGAAAAAATAATAGTTCTAAGGCGGAACTTCTTTCTTCTTCTCAACTGGATGAAAGATGGCGATATTTTGATGGTTCCAAGATGGTGGTTTTGGACCAACATGGTTGACAGTGCTTTTCTTGATTTCTTCGAACGATTAAGGAAAAAATAATAGTTCCAAGACAGAACTTCTTTCTTCTTTTCAAGTGGATGAAAGATGGCGATGTTTTGATGGTTCCAAGATGCTTTTCGCCCAAAAATTGAAGTTACACATAATGTAAAGAGTCAGTACGAAGTATTTTGCGCGATAGAATTTTAGGAAGAATGTGGCGTCACGTTCCAATGGCAAAAATTGTATAATATTGTTGACAAAGGATAGGAAAATCTAGCGAAGTATAACCGATTGCCTCTGCAAGCCATGCCTGATCACTTTCTTTGCAGTTTGATTGCTCGTGCCATGGAGGAAGTAACGAGAAACCATTTCTTCCGGTTAGAAGACCGGTCGAGACGAATCGATCTGCGAGAGAGATCGTGACTACGGTTGCAGCTTTTCATAATGGCAGCGTCCGTTGCAATTAAACCGTTTATTTTATAGATGGTATTATGGTTTCTGTTACCCTGTCTGAAATTACGTCTATCGGTAACTGTTCGACAAATTGCATGTTATTACGAGTCATCTATACAGAGTGTACCACCTAAGTTGAGCATCTAGAATTTCTCGTTTGTTTCTTACAATAGAAAAAACTGGTTTTAATTTTTAATTGGTAATTTTCGTTTTTTCTTTTTAATGAAACGACGTATTTTTATCAAAACTTGGATTGTTAGATCCAATATAGAAAATTATTAATTATATAATAGTGCCTATAGAAATA